GAGTGCAAGAGCATCAATAGAGAAATAATTCATCAAAATTTAATCTAACTTAAGCTGAGGTACACTCTACATTTTTTTATGGAGTACTAAGTTGGAGTAAACGAACTATTATTACTCCATTTTAGGCCTTATTCAGTTTGCTGGAATTTTAGAGGATCCCTGCAGAATCATTTTTTCCATGTGATTTTCCTATGTTGAGGATTTGTTTAGTTCCCGTTTAGTAGGAACGGAGGTGCTAGATTCCTAAGGATTGAGTATATATTTGTCTAATTTCTAAGAACCCTAAGGGTTAGGTGAGACCTTATAGAAATTCTTAAAAATTGAAGTGGACATGACATGTCAATCCTCTACTTTTCCTATGGTTCAAGAATTCTGTAAAACTAAAAGGAATGAATCCTTAGATGTTGCTGATTTACAAGTTGGTTCTGTAAAATCTAACAAGACATAGAAAAAATGGGTGTAGGCTCTCTCCTCAAGCAAGAAGTTGTTGATTTATACAGTCTAAATGGCATAAATCAGCAACTCGTTTTTTTGAGTAAGAGCTGCTCTCTTAAATATACAAGTCTAAATGGCATAAGATTAATATCTATATATTCATATTGGAAAACACTTACTTATAATATTACAAATCATTTACTTATAATTGTATTATGTATACCATAGAAAGTACTTCACCACGGGGAATGTATCGGGTGCTTCCACGGTTCCACCCTTGGGTGCTCCCGGTGTTCCACATATTTTAAAATGTTCGCAAAGTTCTGGAAAAAAAATCTAGCGCATTCACACAACATCAATGTATTGCCCCTTCACCACGTTAGATTAAATGTTACTAGTAGATTTGCTAAATCAAATGTTTAATTATTTTCTATCATTGTTTCATTTCAGATGTTGCTGATTTACAAGTTGGTTTTGATCGTTTCTTGTCCAGGCCCCAGAAGATTTAACAAGGACAAAAAAAGAAATCGTGTGTAGGGGCTCGTCCAGCTAGAACGGCGAACTTTACGGGAAAAGACTGACAGGCGTAGCCTAGTTTTTCTAATAATTGCGCCCATGAGATTGAGATTCCACAAGGATTCGAGATCAATGACAACGCAAGTAATGATATTTTAGCAGCCTGTGCTCCTGCGACCTAGGGAAGATGTATATGTTATATCTCGAATGCTTTTCCCCTGCCCCTCCTTTTCATTTCAAGCAAAAGGGGTGACGACTATGCTGTAGCGCCCAAGTAACATATTGATTTGCCCACTTGACCTAGATTCGGTGTGGACTCGTGATCAGCTGCGATGCTAGAATAATGTGGACCTGGCTAGAATGTTTGTTCTTCCTTGCAAGGTTGTCTTGTTTGAGCCTCTCTAGATTAAGTTGCTTTTACTATAGATTACCATAGAGGCCTTTCGGATTTAATGGCTGGGGTAAAGAAAGTTTTGTCGGAATCTGGCGGCTAGAATTTTATCATCTTGTAGTCTAACTTCAAAAAAAAAATTACCATGTGACCTTTCGGATTAAGTGGCTGAGGTGAAGAAAGTTTTGTCGGAATCAGACGGCTAGAATTTTATTATCTTGTAGTTTAATTTCATCATTTTACCCTGTATTGATTAAGAATAAGAGAATTACTCGATTAGTTAAAAAACGGACGAAACCCGTTACAACAGGCCCACAAAACAAGGCAACAGAGGGATCTAGCTACCCGCGAACACCCAACACGCTCATGATAAGAGGAACGTTGCTGATGATATGTGTAAACTGTAATTGTCATCACTTCTTCCTGTGCAAGTGACTCAAACTTCATCATCAACGACAAACAAAGGGACCCTCGCCCACGAGATCCCTACTAAGCCATGGCAAACAATTGGCCAACCATGTCGAGCACTAGGTAGCTCTGACTTTGGTGACAAGCCTCGAGGAGAAATAAGCACATCTTGCACCGATTGTGCTTGGCAAGGCCACCTACCTTTTGCAGGCCATCGTTGCTGCCAAGTCGCTCGATGACTGTACAACTCTCAATTCATCGCTAGACAACAAAAGTTGCAAGGAAAACCCAAAGACATGTCGAGCAATCGACAAAGGAAGACATGTGACAATCCAACTGCTCTTGCCACCACCATCGTTGCCGCACGAGTCCCAACGCCACAGGATTCGAGGCCGTTGCCACAACACCCGCGCGACCAAGTCACCACACTCGAAAAACAATGTGTTCAAGAAGGTAGTTCATGCCAAGGCGTCGCCATTTGTTCGAGTTAGGGAATACCTGGATCTGGAGTCCCCCGGAGCTCTCAGGTTTGGTAACACCGCAATACCATCTCCAAGGAGGAAACCGGAGCCCACAGGCGCCACTGATGTTGGTGCTAACCAGGGCAACATACAACTTTCACCAGGTGCTTGACGCCCTCCACCCCGAGCAAGCCGGCCAGACTACCAAGCGCTCACCGACGAATACGGAGCTACAAAACCAAAGACACCACAACATGACACACACACAAAGTAACATGAAGTAGAGTGTCGTTGCAGACTCAGCAGCACCGCACACAGATCCAGACCACACAGCTAATGTCGAGCATCACCATCCTCAAACTTCAAACCCCGGTCACCACCACAAAGCCACGATTATCTTGTCATCCATGTAAGCACCTTTGTTGTCGGCGGCGGCCGACTGGTGTCCTGCAAGTGCATGATGACCCACAAGTATAAGGGATCTATCGTAGTCCTTTCGATAAGTAAGAGTGTCGAACCCAACGAGGAGCAGAAGGAAATGATAAGCAGTTTTCAGCAAGGTATTCTCTGCAAATACTGAAATAAGTGGTAACAGATAGTTTTGTGATAAGATAGGTTGTAACGAGC